GTGCCTGCATCTTCCCTTGCCCCTGGGAACCCATTGAGGAAGTGGACTTGATGCTTTTCCAGGTGAACAGATTAGGTCATACTGAGACAAGGTGTTGGCTGCGCTGCCCCCACCTGGCTCCTCCAGCAGCCAGAGGAATTAGCTCATGGTTGGCGAAGGCTCCTTCACGGGGCCGCTGTGGGCCAGAGAGCCAGGGAGCGTGTTGGAACAGCAGTCCCTGTGTGTGGCATGGATCCTCGGCGCTGGCACACTGAGCAGCAGAAAGGCTGACGTGCCCCCGAGGGCTTGTCCCCCCTGCTTGCCGAGTGGCCTGCCTGGTGGGGCGTGCCTGGGCCTGGTGGGGTCTGATCTCGTTTTTCTAGACACCTCGGGTCCCAGGTCTGGCAGCATCCTTTGGCCTCCTTCTCCGGCTCCTCCACCCCCAGGAAAGACCCAGGTTATGTGTAAAGAAAGCTCCTTTGCTTAGAGTGTTGGGGGGCTCTTCCTCCTGGGGCCTGGGCCCCAGGAGTCCCTGGTTTGTCCAGCAGGAGGGGAGGCCTCCACTGCTTTTCAAGCCCAGGAAGCTGCCCAGTGCTGGCGTCTGTTCCCCGGCACCCGGCTGGCACCTCTCCACCGGCTCAGGCTGGGTCCAGCTCAGTGCCCAGTGCGCAGTGACAAGCCTTTCTGCTGTCACATCCCTGGGCCTGTGTGAGTGACATTCTAGCTCAGCTCCTGTACCTAGTGGGAGGAAAGAAACCCCTCTGGGCTTCTTCGGGCATCAGGGCACCCAGGGGGACAGTGCTCCCGACACTGACGACCAGGAAAACACATGCTGATTCAGCAGCTCCTCATGGTCTGGTGTGCTGGGGGCAACTCCGTTCCTGCCAGCTAGCTATAGGTGACCATGAGCTCTAAAATGGTGACTCCCTAACTTAGGCCTCTCCATGTCACACACACGGCTGTGCAGGTGGGTACAGCTCTTTACAGTTTGAAGACAGCTTTCACATACCAGGTTCCATAGATCCTCAGCCATCGCACAGATTAGGAAACTGAGGCCAAGAGGAGAGGATTGAGCCTGAGTGCTTGGCTCCCCAGCAGTGCTGGTACCAGGAACCAGGCTTTGGGGCCTGGCCTTGGTCTCCCAGGCAGAGACCACACAGTGGAGTCTCCCCCCGTACCCAGAGCTGTGGGCAGAGCATTAACAGTGTGAGCAAGGAGGGAAGGGACGGGCATGGAGCTCTTCACATACTAAAACCACTCCACACCCGGCCCTTTTTTTTTTTGAGATTTTTGAGACATGAAAATCTGGGGGAGGTGGGATCAACTGACTTCATGTCATTTGGTGTCCAGAGAAGGATGTGAGGGCGCAGAGATTGGCTTGGGCCACCCAGCAGGTCAGAGAGCACCAGAGCGACATGATCTGTGAGGTGACTGTGACATAACTCTGAAAGTTACATCGTCTTAATGACTTTTTAAAATAGTCTTGCTCTGTCGCCAAGCTGAAGTGCAGTGGCGTGATCTCAGCTCACTGCAACCTCTGCCTCCCAGGTTCAAGCAATTCCCCTGTCCCAGCCACCTGAGTAGCTGGGATTACAGGTGCACACCACCACGCCCAGCTAATTTTTTATATTTTAATAGAGACCGGGTTTCACCATGTTGGCCAGGATGGTCTTGAACTCCTGATCCGATGATCCGCTCGCCTTGGCCTCCCAAAGTGCTGGGATTACAGGCGTGAGCCACTGCCCCCAGCCTAATAATGACATTTAAAAAGTATGGCTAGGGCTAAAGGACTGTGTCTAGGGCTTCCTGTAGACCAGGCACTGGGCTGAGAGCTCACATTCATAACCTTATTAAATCCCCTGGGTGACTTCGAGGTGGATGTAACCATCCCCAGGGCTGGGCTCGTGGCTGTGGGGCCCAGGCAGTGGCACAGGGGCCCTCGTGCGGGCTCATGCTCTGCCATCACTGTCTGGAAATTCTTAGACCTTTTTAAACAAGGAGCCTTGCATCTTCATTTCACGCTGAGCCTTGCAGATTACATAGCCTGGTTGTTTGCATTTCTCAGAAGAGGACACAGGCCCAGAGTGGTCAAGAAGCAACGCGCCAATGTCACAGAGCCAATGGCTGCACTGGGACTCTAGCCCCAGAGCCCGCACTCTCCACAGTAGAAAGAGGCTGACACAGAGTCAAATGGCTGTGCCCAAGTCCGGCTGCTGGCACCTGCCTGTAGCCATGGGTGAGGCGCTTCACCTGCCCTAGCCTTGATTGCTCCTTGGTGAAATAGGGTGGTCCCGCCTGCCTCTGGGGGCTGCTTTGAGGCTCACATGGGCAGATGTGCACACCGTGTTTTCTGCATTTCACCAAGCTCAGCAGATCGGAGAACCATCGCTAGCTGGTCACAGTTCACAGGGGCTGTCTCCCGTGCCACCAGGTAGTCCTGACATGGTCCATGCAGGCCTTCACTGAGGTCAGGAGTTCAAGACTAGCCTGGCCAACGTGGTAAAACCCCATCTCTTCTAAATATACAAAAAAATTAGCTTGGGCATGGTGGCGGCCACCTGTAATCCCAGCTACTCAGGAGGCTGAGGCAGAAAAACCACTTGAACCTGGGAGTTGGAGGTTGCAGTGAGCTGAGATTGCTATATTGCATTCCAGTATAGATGACAAGAGTGAAACTCCATCTCAAAAAAAAAACAAACAATAATTGAAATAATTCCCTGCAATACAGTTACAGACATGCAGTGTTTCCTACCCCAAGAGGAGCCCCTTACCCAGCAGCGGTGGGATGCCCTCACCTCTGCAGTGGGTGCCTGCTGCCGGGGGCGGGGTGGGCCACCATGGCTCCTGGTCCGTGGTATTTGCCCACAGAACCCAGGGAGGTAGGGCACTGCTCATCTATCTGCAGTTGAATCTTCTCCAGAAAGCTTTGACGGATCTAATCAGAGCTCCCTGCCAGTCAGAAGGAAGCCCTGTGAGTACAGCTGCCCCAGACACGCTCAAAACAGATCCTGGCACCTCAGCAAAGAGGCATACGGCGCCTGGGAGGGGCTCCAGAAAGTAGCTAATAAGTCTTTAGATTTGGACAGATTCTGACCGTGAAACTGCACGGAAGACTCCCATGAGTACATTTCACTTTTGCAGGCTTAGCGCGCTAAGTCTTCAGAGAGTGCCTGTGAGCTTTAGTTCTGCCACTCTGCTAGGGCATGGGAAGTTGGTATGTATCACCCCCATTTTACAGATGCAGAACATGAGGCTTAGTAAGCCTGACCAGACCTGGAGCTAGGCCATCTGCCCCCAAGCCTAGTGCCTGCGTCTGGAGATGGTGTCTCTCCACTCTGGCCGCACACTCAGATCCGGGGGCCGAAGGCTGCTGTGCATCCCATCTCAGGCCAATTGAACCAGAATCCAGTTCCTCAGGGGCATTCTCACTTGCTCCAAGCAGGGCTGGAGGTGAGAGCAGGTTTCTCTGCTTACCAGTTGGGGTGAACTGTTCCTTCTCATTCTCGATGGATGACCCTCAGCAGGGACAGGCTCATAGCATAGGGCAACCGAGGCTGGGGCAGCAGGGCGTCCTCCGGCCGCAGGCCCTCCACAGGCTGGAGCTGGGGAAAAGGTCTGGACCAGAGAGTTCTGGCCGTCCTTCTAGAGCATCTTCGAGTCGTGTCGGAGAGGAATCCCAGGACAGCTCGAGTGGCCTGCGCACCATTCAGCTTCTGCCAACCCCATCTTAATTCCTTCCCTCCTCTCACCTCCCTTCTGCCCGGCTCCCCTCAGTCCACACAGGTAACCATGGCTATGGCTATTCCATTCCTTTTGTCTTTTGTTTTTGGCCGGGATGCTTTTAGGCATTTACAAGTCAATAACAATCCCTTTTCCTTTCTCCTTTTTCACCCCAAGGGCAGCCTGCTCTCCAGGCTGCTGAGCATCTTGCTTTTCTTCATTTCAGCTTTATCTTAGGCATCATTCCACATCAATTCATTCTTGTTTATAGCTGCATGTCCCCCAGCACAGATTTTTTTTTTAACTCACCCTGAAAGCCCAGGGCTTCCCGCCTGGGTCCAAATCATGTGTCTCCTACTCTGATTCACCCAACTCCACTGCCCGCCCCGTGGACCTCGGGCTGCAGAGTCTGGAGGCTGGGGTCTCTCCTCACTGGGAGTTAGGTTGGCACCCTACGTCTGGTGTTACAGGGTAGAAGCCTGGGTTTATGCCTCCTGTGTGGAGTTGGGGAGGCCAAATCAGATCCCGTAGCTGGAGTCCTTACTGAAGACAGGCTGCTATGCAGGCACTTAGGTGAACGCGAGAAGCCTCATTCTAGAACAGTGAGTCACAGCCAGCTCCTTTAGCCGTCCAGCTCGGATGCCACCACCTTCTTCCCTCCACAGCTGCAGGTTTCTTTGCTTCTGTCTCTGAAGAGGTGAGGTAAAGTGTTGTTCTTGGAGGAAGTTGGGAGTGTGGAGTAAGACCTGGATGTAAGAACCGCTGCCGGAGGACAGGGCCTGCGGTGGGTGGAGGTGGTGAGGGGCCAGTGGCACCTGGACGGAGCAGACACACCTGAGCCTGCGTGGGGTGCCGCTGCTCAGCTGGTGGCTCTGGGGACCCTCCCACTGTTGCCACACAGAGGAGAGACCTGCGCCTTCAGATTCAGACAGCCTGAGCTTGTCCCCCCAACTTCTTGCTGGGAGATCTCGGTGAGTCATTTAACCTCTAGATGTGGATTCCTTGTGTGCAAATGGGAATAAAAACAAATCCCTGCAGACTTGCTGGGAGCATTAAATGAGATAGTAGAGATGGAGTCATTTTATACATGGTAAAACACTGCACAGTTTATCAATTGGTTGTTAACTTTTCTGCACTGAGTTAAGGCATTGAAATGGTGTCACTTTCATTCCGGACTAGCCATGAGAAGCCCGGTCATAGTCCACTCTGAGCCTCCGTTTCCCTTCCTGTGGAGTGGACGTGCCCACCTCTGAGTGGCAAGGCAGGGATCAGGACTGATGTAATTCTCACCCCTCCCACAGGATCTTCAGCCGCCTGCCCTTCCTGAGAGGAGGGAGCTCTGGGCCTTCTTCCCGCCAGTCTGGTCTTCGAGCGCCTTCAGGACGGATAGACCTTGGCACGGGCTGCCTGAGATTCCTGCGACGCCTGTCTGTTCCTGCCTTCTGCAGAGCATGGCACCCACAGGATTCCAGGACGGATCATAGACCGGAGCCTCCGGGAGGGCGCCCTGCGCAGCTCACTGTGCAGTTCCTCTCCGCTGACCAGCCACCATCCTCCAAGGCCGGCTCCCATCCCGGAAATGCCCTCGGGCACCTGGATGAGGCCATCCCAGAGCCGGACCCAACTGTGCCACCCACCAAGCCTCCGCCTCAGCCCCCCAGCCCCTCCCATGTCCGGCTCCCAGGACAGACTGTAGAATGTCTGTGCCCCAGATCCACGTGGAAGACGTGGGTGCAGAGGAGGAGGCAGGAGCTGCACCGCCCGATGACCACCTCCGGAGCCTGAAGGCCCTCACTGAGAAACTGAGGCTGGAGACCCGGAGGCCTTCCTACCTGGAATGGCAGGCCAGGCTGGAGGAGCAGACCTGGCCCTTCCCAAGGGCGGCTGCAGCTGCGGAGCCACAGGCGAGCATGGAGGAGGGGGAGCGTGGGGGGCATGAGCCCTTGCTCTCCCTGAGAGAGCCCGAGCAGCACCCCCCTCCTGCCAGGAGTGCCAGCCAGGACACCAGACCCCTGTCCAGTGGCAAGCTGGAAGGCTTTCAGAGCATAGATGAAGCTATAGCCTGGCTCAGGAAGGAACTGGTGAGTGGCTGTCCCCAAGAATCCCCAGAAAAGAAGCAATGCCACCATCTGTCTATGTCTCTGTCTCTTTCTCTGTCTCTGCCTCTCTGTGTCTGTCTTCCCACAACCACCCCCTCTTCTCTCCCCCATCTCCACCTCCCAAGTACACATCTGTAATCTTCCCATGAATTGAAGGCAAGCCTCATTTGTGGTTGGGGGACCCAGGCGTCAATCAGCCCCTAATTACAGACACTAGTGGAGGAAGCAGGCGTTTTCTGAGCGAACCTGAACCCATGTTAAGTTGTCCCCACCCTCACCCCGACACCACTCCTGGTGCTGGAGTCTCGAACGCATCTCCCTGGACTGCGAAGGGGGTCCCTGGGATATGACTGCCCCTCCCTCTGTGCTGGAACCCCCCCACCCACCCTGCTGTCTACCCCAGCTGCCCAGTACTCCGGGGACCACTCATTCTGCAAGTGAGTGCCCTCTCCCTATGCTGGGCGCCAGCTGGATGGCTCCATGGGGCACGGTGGCTGGGGTGTGGCTGTGCAGAGTGCTGCTGTGAGGAGCTGGCTCAGTGTGGAATGAGCTGGAGTGGTGGAGCCGCCCAGAGCCACCGTGGGATGGGTCCTGCCTGGGGAGAAGCTCTGTGAAGAGGCTCAGAGTAGGAGTTGGCTCAGAAGTCAGGGCGGGGCCAGGTGTGACCAAAGGGCACATTGTGTTTAAGCTGGGACAGCAGCGCCACCACTTTGCTGCCCACGGGCAAAGCAGTTTCCCAATAGGAGCATCTTTTGTTGTGTGCGGTGACTCAGCCAGAGAACAGGCTGCGGGTGCAGAGCTGGGTGCCCTGTCCCCTCCCACCCGCCAGGGGAGAATCACTGGTGTCTGGCACAGCGCCTCTCAGCAGCACCAGGCAGGAAGCTAACCCTCCCCCAGCTCTCAACCCCTGCTGCACTGTCCCCTGAGGCCAGGTAACACCTGCACGTCGGGCCACTCTGGCCACAGGTGTGCGAGTCATCGAGTCATCGGGGCAGCTGCTTTCCGGAGCCGGCAGGGGCTGTTGCATCAGCGGGGGAGGCTAAGGCCTGTTTAGTTTGTTTTGCAGAATCCTGAAAACTAAGAGAATCCAAGGGGCTTGGAATGGAGCGGGGCTCAGGGACACACGGATCTGATTGATGAGTTGGAAGCCTGTTTGGGTTTTAACCCTTTGTGCCGAGAATGCTTCTGAGAATGGACCGTTCTGCAGCGTCTGTCTCCAGTAACGAGAGGGTCCACATGCTGTCGGCTCAGGGGAAGATGAGGCCCTGGATTTGCGCCACGTCTCTGGGCTGCCCTGCCACCGCTGGTGCTCTTGGTGGGGGATGTAAGAGGTGAGGGGAGATGGACAGTGTGCGCCAGGACAGACCCCATGCAGTCACCAGCTGCTCTTTGAATGGCTGAGGCTAAACTGCTTTGATTTGCTTTCATAAGGAGGAACAAAAAACATTCCTGTTCATCAAGGACAGAATGTGTTGGTTTCGAGTTCACTTGAGATTTCACTGCCTGTGGGAGCTGAGGCTTCTGCTTTTTAGGGAGGTTAGCATTCTGCGTAGCCCCCACTTTGGAGGGGGGATCAGACAAGGAATCCTCCTCTGGGTGCAAACCAGGATGGAGTTCCCTCTAGCTTGTCCTGCTCATCCTCCTTTAGACCCCTCACTCTGGCTGTGTATTGGAACCACCTGGGGAGCTTCTAGGCCACACCGAAGACCAAGCTGATGAATGTCTGGGGGTGATAACGAGATGTGTGGTTTTCAAAGCTCCTGCGTGCTTCTAATGCACAGCCTGGGCCTTCAGTCTACAAGTCAGACTCACGTCTCCTCCCAGGCCACTGTGAGCCGAGCAGCATGAGATGCCCTGCCCAGTGTGCTGGCCGAGCCAGGAAGGAGGCCGAGGGTGAGACGCAACCATGGTGATGTGCAGAGCCAGGCTCCATAGGCCAACAGCAGAGCAGCAGCGGTCAGGACCAGTCTGACTGCCAAAGGCTGTCGTACATAGGGTAAAGGGCATAGCAGTATGATTAAGAACGCTGTATGTTTGCACTGTTTCCACTTTCCTGGCCACTTCCCTGTGCCACCAGGGGTGTGTCCTGTGTGCCAGGCACTTCACAGGCATTACTCATCTCTTCTAATCATCAGATGACCTTCCTGGCACCCCTACTTTTCCAGAAGAGGAAACAGGTTCAGAGAAGAGTGCAGCCATACGTGAGAAAGTTGAAATTTAAACCCTGGCCCATTCGGTCGCATTGCTAATGCTCTGCTCAGCCACCGTATGACATGGCACCCTCCGCAGGCAATCGATTTTGCTATTTGACTCCTAAAAATGTACATCACAAAAATGTTGGCAGGCAACAGAATGCCTGGGGGTGAGGCAGAGAGAGAAGCAGGACTGAAGGAGTTCCAGCCTCACCCCGTGATCTCTGATTCTTACAACAAAACTGCGAGATCGCCCTCATTGTGTCCAGTTTACAGATGAATACACTGAGGTCCACGGAAGTCAGATGACCTGCCGAGGATGACATGACAAGTGAGTGGCAGAGCCGGGGCTGGGACTCATACAGAGAAGAGAGCTATGGGGAGAGAGGTAGCAGGTAAGGCTCATGAGTGGCCCGACACAGAGGGTCCCGTTGGGCATGCTCAAAGATCACTGACCCAGCAGATGCATGCTCCCGATACCATGCTGCTTGCAGGATAGAGACTCTCTCAAGGTACTGCCTCCCAAACTCTAACGCCCAGGCAGGTCACTGGGGCTCTTTGCAGATGAAGATTCTGGTGCCTTTGGGGGCCTGTGCTTTCAAATTTCCAACAAGCTCTAAGGTGACACTATTCTGCTAGCCCTGGGCCACACTTAGAGTATACAAGGAATGGAAGGAGGGCAAGACCAGGACCAGGCGACCAAGAAGCAACCTCAGAGGACAGACCCAAGGATCCCCAAGCAGGATCTCTGAGCCCTGTCTCTATCATAACTGCCCATGTGGCTTGTGGCTCCATTGGTGAATGGGCCTCAGTGAACAAACTCACAGCATCCCACCCTGAGTGGTCCAAGAACCACACTTGTTCAGACGATCCCAACTCTGAAGCCCAAAGCGGCCCAGACACAGACTGGCAGGCGGGTAGGCAGGCTGGACGTGCAGTTCCACCTGCTGCCAGGATTAGACAGCAACTTGCAAAACCCTTTGATTGGATTGAAAACTGAGAGTTCAGCGTTTGAGAACAAACACGTTCTGCTCTATTCAAGTCTCAGCCAGAACATTAAACTTAATGCCGTGGTTTCCCTCATTCATCAGCGGTTAACTCATTGAAGGTACCTTTAAAAATTAACCTATTTTTTTAACTCAGTGAACGTGACTTGCATGACCTTTTTTGTCTATTTTAAGCCTAGAAGCAGGTTTTCTCTATACCTGGGCAAGCCCTTCCTGCAGATTTGTTGGGGTCAAGGGCAGATGTGTTGTTTGTTCTCACACGGCCAAGGTAATTGATTGGAAATCTGTAATTCCCTTATTCATGGGGATATTTTCCATAACTCAATGGGGGTTTTGGCCGCAGGAGAGGGCAGACCCTAACCAGTCCTCTGACCACCTAGCAGCTCCTCCTGGAGGCAGTGATCAATGTCACCCCAGCCAGAGGCTGGCAGTGCTGGGTCTGGAAGCAGAAGCTAGTCTGCTCCGGCCTCCAGCAAGACCAGGTAAAAGGCAGAGTGACTACCTGACCATGGCTAATTTCTAAGGTGAGGAAGGATCCTAAGGGTGAGGAAGGATCCTAAGAGCTCTCAGGGGTCAGCTCTCCCTGTCAGCTTTCAATGAAATGACTGTCACTCCTGATGCCCCCTAGGGACCAGCAAGTAGATCAGATTTTCCTTCAGGCCAATGTGTCAGGGATATAAGGCTGGTGGAGATCCTCCAAGCCTCTTAGTGGGACTCCCAGCTAAGCAGGGCTTACCTTGGGCTCCCTGGGCGGAGTTGGAGATGTGTCACTCTCTGGCTGCGGTTGGCAGGGCTGCAGCCGCCTGACTCCTCCAGGCGAGGCCTAGTCTCGCCGGTCCCAGGACACTAGCTCAGGGAATGGCCGTTGTGCAGCTGTGGTTCTTCACTGCTCAGGTCACCAGAAGGTCACAGTCCCCAGCTTTCACCTTCCAGGTGGCCGAGTAGCCCGAATGGGAGTGGCGGGAGGGCCTTGCTTTGGGAAGTAGGGGAGCTAGAAAGAGCACGACCTAGAGCTGTGGGATTCTCTCCTCTCCAGCTGAGTCTGGAATTCGGAGCATTCGCACACGCCTGTGCCCAGGCGGGTCCATCAGCCAGCTCCCCTGGGTGGGGCCCTCAGCACTCAGCACAGGGCAGCGGGGACCCTCACTTCTGTCTTCTCTCTTGAGTCACACCCACAGGTTTCCCCTTGCCAACCTGGAAGACAGAGAAAAGGGGCAATAAAGTCTTCCTCGTGGTTTATGCCCTGCCAAAACAAAAAACAAAATATTCTGGCTTCCTAATGGGCAGTTTGTAGTGAGAAGCCCTGGGCGCCCACCAATATTTTTCTCTTAGTTTTACACAGGTGTGTGATCTCCACAGGCACACCCCCAAGAAGGTGTTTATGAATGTTAGAAAAAGGAAAGAGAACCTTGATGAGTCTTCATCACTTAGGGCCTGTCGAGGCAGGAGGACTGTGACCTCAACTCAGCTGGCGCCACTGTGGGCACAGCTTGGCTTCGAGGGGGCCACCCTCTCCCCATTAACCCTCTGTTGCCCCCACTGCCTGCGTGGTATGCATAGGACTCTGGTATGTCCGGGTACAGCCCTCTGAGGCTGGTGACAACCATGTGTGCTGAGCAGTGTGGCCAAATGGCAGGTCACACTAACCAAGCATCTTCTGATGGAAAATGGGCAAAACAGCCATGTTGATACCCCCCATCTAGGGAGCCTTTCACATACACTACCCTGCGAGAAGGCTTGGAAGTATTTGCTATTCCCATTTTACAGAGGAGAAGACTGAGGC